TAATCACCAGACTCTTACCCTACGCACTGTGTCCGTATTCTAATATTCATCCGTTTATGATAGTTTATGGTCCAATTTTATTATTTATATTCGTTTTCTTTATCATATGGTGTTTAGAGAACGTCAAGCGGTCAGCATATATATATGCACTGATTCTTACTACGTTCGTTTCCCTAAACGGTTGTATAGTATTCGTGATTGACATATTTTTAATGGATTGGAATATTGCAGTCAGTTTTTGCGATCAATTTATCTATCGGTCTACCAATCTACATTCATTCTTGTTCTGTAAAAATAATTAGAGGCGACAATCAACGTAATTAAACGGTACATTGAGGTATGATTACCACTCTAAAGCTTATCACATTTATTAATGCATATGGTGTTTACAATGATACCCATCAATAGTTTTCTTGAAACGCCTGAAATAATGAATTCGCTTTGAGCCTGTAGCCCCAGGAGTACTGTCGAGCAGAAGGTAAACAACACGTGCGAGTGAGACGAGTAAGCGGCCAACGCTGTTGTGACTGTAACATTGTTTACAATATGAAAGGGACATTTCTCTAAGTGTGTTTACATATGTAAGTATTATACACTATTTAAAAAAAAAGGTGTGGACGTAGAGATATATATCTAGTATTTATCTGCGTAGAAGCTAGATGGTAGATAGCTATTTACGTGCAGGTATCAGGAAATCTCACAGGATTTTGAAAAAATAAAGTTAAAATTCGAATGAGAGTTTCACACAGCCATCAAACCTTGCAATTATTCTACCATGTTTCAGTTAATCACACTGTATAAAGCGTGAATCTGTAACTATTTTCCATTGTGAATGATATAAATGAGAGGGGATAATTTGTTTCACACAACCAATGCCACAAACAAAACTGAGTAAATATTCAGGGATGATGAGGACATAATTTTTAAGGTAATTTTTTAGAATATGTCGTCCAAGCAGACATGTAATAACGCATGAACTAATTCGGACATCACAGTAATGATTCAAGAGGTCGGTGTTGTGTTTTTCTTGGCAAGGTAAACAAGTTGGTCGACTTAGAATTTAAGTGGTGACTGCGCACTATATTTTTGTCATTTAGTGGTTAATATGAGGCTGCTGCAGCTTAAACTATGTTCTATCCCACTATATTTCTTCAGCTCTACAAAATGATGGTGTCCATTTCCCATTGATGTCTTTAACTTATACCAAATGCTTCTTAAAGGTGCTACATGTAAAAGAACAGAGGTTAGAGCTGTCGCGGCCGTGGTTGTCGTCCTCATCCTCCTCCCCCTCCCCTCCCCCTCCCCTCCCTGTCCCCCCTCTCTCTCTCCCTCTCCCTCTCCCTCTCCTCTCCTCTCCTCTCCCTCTCCTCTCCCTCTCCCTCTCTCTCCTCTCCCCTCTCCTCTCTCCTCTCCCTCTCCCTCTCCCTCTCCTCTCCCTCCCCTCTCCTCTCCCTCTCCTCTCCCTCTCCCTCTCCTCTCCCTCTCCCCTCTCCTCTCCTCTCCTCTCCCTCTCCCTCTCCCTCTCCTCCTTCTCCTCTCCCTCTCCCTCCTCCTCCTCCTCCCCTCTCCCTTCCCCTCCCCCTCCCCCCTCCTCCCTCCTCCCCTCCTCCTCCTCCTCCCTCCTCCTCCTCCTCCTCCTCCTCCTCCTCCTCCTCCTCCTCCTCCTCCTCTCTCCTCCTCTCTCCTCTCCTTCTCTTCCTCCTCCACATCATCGTTATCGTCGTCGTCCTCCTCCTCCTCCTCTCCTCCTCTCCTCCTCCTCATCATCATCATCATCATCATCATCATCATCATCATCATCATCATCATCATCATCATCATCATCATCATCATCAATCATCATCATCATCATCATCATCATCAATCATCATCATCAATCATCATCAATCAATCATCATCCATCAATCATCATCATCAATCATCATCATCATCAATCATCATCATCATCAATCATCAATCATCATCATCAATCATCATCATCATCATCATCATCATCATCATCATCAATCATCATCATCATCAATCATCATCATCATCATCACATCATTCATCATCATCAATCATCAATCATCATCATCATCATCATCATCATCATCATCATCAATCAATCATCATCAACATCATCAATCATCATATCAATCATCATCATCTTCAATCATCATCATCTTCAATCATCATCATCTTCAATCATCATCATCTTCAATCATCATCATCTTCAATCATCATCATCTTCAATATCATCATCATCATCATATCATCATCATCATCATCATCATCAATCATCATCATCATCATCATCATCATCATCATCCATCAATCATCATCATTATTAATATAATTGTTTTCATTATTATTAATGTTATCATTGTTGTTTTGGTTCATTTGGAACTGCTCGTCTATCTCGTCCAGACCCTTTGGACAAGATGTTTTGACTGTTCGGAACCTCCACTGGTGGGTAATTTTATGACCCTTTATTGGTGTTACCAAAGGATATTTTTGT